CAGATTGCTCTGTATCAGTGACCTGTCCTCTTCATTAGTCACCATTCTCCCAATTTTTGTGTCAGCTGCAGATTTTATCAGTGAGGATTTTTACATTTTCTATCAAGTCAATAACAATAATGATGTTAAATAGTGCTGGACCAAGAACCTATCCCTGCAGAACCTGCCTGGAAACACACCTGATGATACCCTGTTTACAATTACATTTTGAAATTTCCAAATTAGCCAGTTTTAATCATTTATTGTGCACCATATTACAAATATGTGACCTAGAGGGTATTTTCTTTACCATTTGGAGGAGAACTCAGCCCACGCCGAGGAGAAGATTTGAAAAAGCAGTGTTCAACAGGCAATGCGAATCATTAGGAGGAGAGACTTTTATTTGCTGTCACAGGATGTAAATATTTGGGTCTTAGGCAGGCTTCAGGAACTGGGAACAGGAAAATTCTGAAGCAGGGCAGCTGACAGGGGGTGGAGGGCAAAGAGGGCAGCTGCCCAGGGCTCCCAGTCACCGTTGCTGCTACCGTGGCAGCTCCAATGCCCTGGTCCCTTTAAATTGCTGCTGGAGCCTCTGACGGAACACACCCTGCAGCCTTGGCAGCACTGAAGAGCTGGCTGCAGGAGGCTAACCCCCAGCCATGCCCCTTCCACCTGAGGCCCCATCCCTTCTGGAGGGCCAGGCAAAAACTCTCCTCCAACCTGTTCTAAAACCAGACTGTGAGCCTGTTTCTCTTCTCACCGGCACTGGATAAATCAGGAGTAACTGTAGCTAAGTAACTGAGTTACACTTCTGTAAAACTGATCTAAGTGAGGGGAAGAATCAGGCCCTGTACTTAACTCAGAAATTTCTCAAGTACCTGGGAAACTGGAACTGCATGGACTGTATCGTATTGGGGCAGGAGTTCAGGCAATCAGGAGCTGAGTCTTCTCTGAAACTCACAATGGAACTGTAACTATGTCTGCATCAACCTGGGGAGTTCGTATTGTGTAGGCACAGGACTTGGATGCAAGATAAAATGTTTTGATCTGGAATTCAGTTACATAACATTTTTAAAATGTTTTTTCAACCCATTACTCACAACTGAGGTTCAAGATCACGACACATCATTTCTCATGGACATTTGCTTTTATTTCTGGTGTGCTTTACTGGAAAATTATTAGCCTGTAGAGAGATAGCTGGCAACAAATTCCAGACCTACATATTTAGTTTTAGTAGTAAGTCAGTCAGACATCTAGGCAATTACCTTCCGTTCAAGATGACAACTTAGAGACATGTTTATTTTGTCTCCAGGAATCCCTGTTATTTTAGGATCCTTTCCAGACTGCAACTAGTGCTAACTCGCCAGTATTTGGAGATTCTTGTCTATGCTTTGGTTTCCTATCTGGCCTGGAGTAAGTACTCAATTATTGACTTACTGGCCTCCTTTCAACCTTTTCAGTTCATTTCCTGCTTCAATGCAATTTCAAGGGGAGAGCTGTGAGCTTGTCTAAACTTAGGGTCTCATATCTTCATCAGTCCTGGTGGGTCTACACTGCATTAACTAATTTTTGAAGTGAATTAATCTGCACATAGCTTTGTGTGGAACCCTCGCTATCCTAGCAGTGTGGCAAAGCCTTTAATACAAGACTGATCTTTGTGCTGAGCCTCAGTTTGACTCTTAAAATTAGCTTAAAGTCCAATCTTGTGATGTTCAGAGCCCCCTTGAGAGGTGATGAGTTCTGCCTGAGGAGGTATCAAGTACTCTGCAGAACAGGACCAGTCCTCTTTTATGCAGCACTAATGGATTCTCTGAGACATCCCTTGCTTCTGTCCTGCTACCAGGTCCCCTCTCTAGTACCTGTTCATGTCTGGAGAGCACATTTCATGGAGGATCCTGGCTCCCAACAGCTCCCACAATAGCTGCTTCATGAGCTCTCCTAAAAGGGAAGTTCCACAGTGACAGATGGCAGGTTAATACTGTTGCTTCACTTGCAACTTCGGGAGGGAGAGAATCTGGAGAGCCATCTCTAGGCCTGCAGAGTCTCCCGGGAGAAATCGGGCCATATTCTGCTCTAATTCACACCAGTTTAAATCCAGAGTCACTTCACTGACTTCACTGGTGTTACTGTGGATTTACACCACTACAACTGAGAACAGAATCTGGCCCACAAGATCTACCGTATAAGAAGCATCATTCAGCCCATGGGACTTGTAACTCCTGCCTAAACTTGATTAGCTAGCAAAATAGTTCCTGTTCCATGAGTACACTCAGTGCCATATAAGCCAGAGGCTTCCCTCAGGCAGTGAACATATGAGCTTAGTTGGAACAGAGTTTATTCTCTTTTGACATTTTATTGGGAAATCAGTTCCTTGTGTGAGTGAGAAAAGGTATTTGTATTGGAACAGATTAGATGGTATTCCCCTTCTGAAACATGCTGGGTCTCTGACGAGCTAGGAAACTCAGGCAAGAACAGGGTTCTGGAAACCATTCATTTGCCACCTCCAGGGATGATACAGTTCAGACTACTTGGGTCTGAATGCAACAGCCTCAGAAGCAGAAAGAAAGAAGGAGTAACATTAAAAAAAAAACCAAGAGGTTTGGTTTGAACTAACGCCTCCTGGCGCGCACTTCCTGGTTCGAATCAGCTGTTGAGCGGAGTAACGCGCCAGCGAGATCATGCTAATAAAGCGCGGGATATTTAAATCCCCGCTTTTTCATTAGTAATTTCGGTCGCCTACATTTGCATCCCTAGTTCGAACTAGGGAGCAAGTGTAGACGTACCCTAAAGATTTGCCGAGCAAGTTCTCTATTTAGAGTCTTCTTAGATTATAAAGTCTTTGGGGGAAAGGAGGCCTTTTTGTTCTGTGTTTGTACAGTGGCACTGTGGTCCATGACTGGAGCTCCTAGGTACTGCAGTTATAAAAATAATCCATAATAATTTATACTGTTATAAAAGGAGAGGTGTCCGTCATGATGTCTGTCACAGAGAACATTTGAGAAGACTTGAGAAATTTCTAGGGGGAGGCGGGTCCCCAGCCCCACCTACAGCCCTGCCCTTCTGCTATGGCCCCCACCCCCAACATGGGGAAGCGAGGAGGAGGAGCAGCATGCCAAGTGCATATCCACCCCTCACCACAAGAAGGAGAAGAGCACACAAGCACATATGCTCCAGCATTCCTGGAGGAGCGGGGAGGCAAGAGGCAGCATGGCCTGAGCCTCCCACCCCCAGGAGCAGCAGGAAAGGAGGAGGCCCTGTGGTCCAAGCCAGCCCAAGTCTCCCCGGCCCTGGGAGCAGTAGGGAGGGAGAAGGCCATGTGCACACTCCCCCTCCCACCACAGGAAGGGGAAGAGTGTGCATGTGTGTGCCTCAGCATCCCTGGAGCAGTGGAGAGGGAGGAGACCACACAGCCCAAGCCTCCCGACCCCCAGAAGCAGTGGGGAGGGAGGCGGCCACGTGGCTCCAGCCTCCCCTAGCAGCGGGAAGGGATATGGCCGGACGGTCCGAGCCAGGCCAAGCCACCCTGCCCCCTGGGAATAGTGTGGATGGAGGAAGCCATGTGTACATTCACAGTCACAAGAGGATGGGTTATGCTAGTACTAACAAAGCATTGGCTACTTTTTTTATGTAAAAGTATATTAAAGGAACAAGGACACTTTAAGATCCCCATTTGATTTCACTTGTGTTACTTAGCATCAGTTAGTGAAACTGACAGATTAAAATAATTTATTTTTTCTTGGTATTGATGCTCTTTGTTTACTTTTTGCATTTCTGTGAGCTTGAAAATCAATGAGGTCACTTTCACTCTTGTGTCCTCCGTACTGCAGTGGTCAGGTTACAGTCACAATAGTGGAACATTCATTACTTTAAAACAGCTCTTTGAATTGGGATAGTTTTTAAATTACTTTTTGTTTTTACAAAGTTCAAACTTTGAACAATCTTATGTAGCATTTGTCCTAAAACTGTGTGTACAATATCATGGGAAAACAAGAGGTGTTGCTATTGTGATTGATGTTATAATTTTTGATTATTTGTTTATCTAGCACTTAGTGCTTGAATAAAATGTTTATTGTAGCTGTGGTACAGTTCATGCCAAAAGCTGCTGACACCACCAAGAAAGTCTTTTCTGCCTTTGTTTCTTTCTAACAATCCTTGTAAGGTACTATCTACTGCTTTGAAGTTGTAACCAGGCAAGCAAACAAAATATTTCATGGTGCCAATTGCCAAAACATAACAGTATGTGTTTATACTTTGGAAAACAATTTATAAACAGTTCAGCTAATATTTAATTTATTTTTTCCTATGCTTTTATTCTCTAATTTATTACTGGTGAATAAATGGAATGGGAAAAGATATATTTGGTGCTCTTAATCATAAGACGAGGTTTGGGTGAGGAGTGAGCCCAAATCTGAGGGGACTAGTTGTCTCATTTCTGTGATGTGCTAACCCGTTATTTGTATCACCAAACCAAAGGAATTGTTGGGAAGTCTTCTTCCTTTTGGGGTTGACGCCTTTCTCCCCCCACTGCTAACTCACTCCTGCCAGAGATGACAATCCAATGTCTCAGAAAAAGATCACTTTCCCGTACCTCATCCCCCATTTCAACGGACACAAGCTGACCACTGTGCTGCAGTAGCTCTAAAAGTACTTCTTGGGAACAAAGCAGAAGCATTTCTAGCCAAGTGCCATTTAATATGAGGTTGTTTGTCAGATGTTGCTGCCTTCCCTCCTTGGCTATGACTGTGAGAACGCATTTTATTGAAATGTTAACCAAATGAATATATTCCCATAACACTACCTTTCTCCAAATGCATGCAACCCACATCCCAGGACACAAGGTTTGTGGCAGACAAGGTCAGAACTATGTGTGTGTGTGTGTGTGCGCACATATGTGTGCTTGCACTGCGTTAAAATACTGGCAGCTCCTTACTGCCCCCTGAAAAATGAACACCCCCATCAGATAGGCTGAGGTGGTTTCTTTTGTGGCAATGAGTTTTTCTTCTTTCTTTCTTTCTATTTAGCTTGCAAGGCATTGGTCGATGAGCTACTGTACGACATTAGGAAGGTGAATCCAAAGAGGACCATTGATGTGGGGTCATTCCGAATAAGCCCTGACGGCACACAAGAGAGGAGTAAGGTAACAGGAAAATGATCTGACAGTACATAATTGCTGATATGTGCAATTACCAACCACTTATCCAAACAGCAGTTGGTCTTAATCTTCCAACCTTTTTCTTGCTAAGGGTATCAGGCACTAAATTGCTTCTGTTTCCTTTGGGACCCAAAGTAATCTTTAGACTTCAAATTGAGGTATTTTCTTCTTTTCAATACCTACATTTTTGGCTTTTTAATGTTTTGAGACGTATTATTCCACTGTTCATCTTGATAGAAATAAATCAGTGCTACCCGTGCTATTAAAAGAAAGAGAGAGAATATATGCATCTCCTGTCTAGAGACTGACATCTATGTAATCAGCTTTTGTGGTCTCTATCTGAAGTGTATCTATCACCTTCCTTAGAGCCTGTGTGAGGATACCGAGTGCCTTCAAATCTCATTGACTGCAGAGGAACTTGAGGATTTTGATGCTTTGCCAGATGTGACCCGTAGGCCTGGTCTGTGCTCAGGCCCGCCAACAGGGAGTGACAAAGGGGGCAACTGCCCCCAGTGATTCAAAAGAGCTCGGGGCTCCTGGATGCTGTTACTCTGGCAGCAACGGTGCCCAGAGCTCCAGACCTTTTAAAACCCTGTTGGAGTGCTGTGCAGCACACTCTAGGCAGCACTGAGCCATGCCACAGTTTGGGTGGCACTGAGGGCTGGCTGCCTGGCGCTGCACTTTTCTGCCTGAGACCTTGCCTCTTCTGGGAGCACGGAACCAGCCCCGCACCCTGGCTAGGTCCCAGCGAGTCCCATCCTGCCTACGTGGCTCCCCTACCTATGCTAGACAGTTAGGTTACTTTAACTACATCCATCAGGGATGTGAAGAATCCACTGCCTTGAGCAGTGTTGTTAAGCCAACCAAAATCTGTGCAGACTGAGCTAGGGTGATGGAAGAATTCTTCTGTCAATCCAACTATTACCTCCCAGGGAGGTGGATTAAGTAGGCAGATAGGAGTACACCTCCCACCAGCATAGGTAGCGTCCACGCTGAAGCGCTACAGCAATACAACTGCAGTGGTGCAGCTGTCTCACTGTAGCATTTTAAAAGTAGACATGCCCTGAGACTGCATGCTTTTAGGGATAGAACCATGTCTTCCTCTGTCTGTTGTGTAGTGGAGAACTTACTGGGTAGCCCTGGATAAATAATAGAAAATAGAACAATTGAGAAGCCCTTGGGAATATTCCGCCAGCTGAATTGTTCCATGAATAGCCTAGGATGAGTTTTCAGAAGAGAATGGCCATGTTATAAAGATGAAGACTTGCTGCTCATTTACTTCAGTGCCCGACCCTGATGATGTTTCTCAGGGCTGGCCTTATCATATGTAGGCCTCCAAACTGCCAGATAGAGGGATCAGTGAAAGAATTGTGTTCCCCTGCAGTTCTTCTGCTGGGAGAGAAGATTGAGCTGGCCTATGATGTGTCTAGTCAGCTGAGGACAGAATGGGTATCAAGCTTTCTAGCCAGGGCCCCAGGGGTCATATATATTGCTGAAGATGAGAGCTGATTCTGATCACAGTGCAACTTCAATAACTTTATTTATTTTAGGGTAGTGCTTAGAAGACTCAACTTAATTCAGGGTCCAACACATAGTGAGAGATATTCACTATCCCAAAGAACTTACAGGCTAAACAGACAAGGAATGGAAACCATGGGTTGTTTGGGAAGTCACGGATGGGGGAGGAAAGCCCCCAGCCCCACCTCCAGCCCCACCCCTTTTTCTGAGGCTCTGCCTCTTCCTCACCTCTATGGGGAGGTGTATACTTCCCCTCCCAACCACAGGGATAGAAGGGGAGAAGGTGGGTGCATGCCCGCTCCATGCTCGGAGAGGGCAGAGGGTGAGCGGCATGACCCCAGCCCTGGAGGGGGGGGGCACATGGCCTTTCCCAGCCCTACCTCTCTTGCTCTGGAGCACGGGGAGGGCAGGTGCTGGGGGCAGCAGCACTCTGCCCCAGAACACCTACTGCAGGGCAAAGCTTCCCCCCACCTTACAGACCAGAGGCTCCTGAAGGAAACATAGGTGAAGAGTCTTCTCTAAGGTCACACACAACAGGTCAGTAGCATAACTAAGACTAGAGCTAAGACTAGAACCTAGAGTTCCTGGGGACACCAGCCTATCCATTGGACCAGACAGCATCTTTCATTTCAGGTCACATTTTCACTGGTGTCCCCAGTATCAGAATCACTCACTAACACTAGTCCTGATGTGTCTTTAGAGCAGTGGTCTCCAACCTTTCAATGCGTGAGATCGCTTTTTTAATTTAAGTGCAAGCCAAGATCTACTTGAAACCTAAATAGCCTTGCCTTGCCCCGCCTTCTTTGTGCCCCTTTTCTGAGGCCCTGCTCATTCCATCCCCCATCCTCCCTCACTTTCACCAGGCTGGGGCAGAGGGTTGGGGTGCAGGTTCTGGCCTTGGATTAAGGGATCAGGAGTGCGAGAGGGGCTCTGAGCTGAGCTTGGGGCAGGTAGTTGGGGGTATAGTAGGGGGTTCATGACTGGAGTAGGTTTTTGGGATGTGGGCTCCCGCTGGACCCTGCTTACCTCAGGTGGCTCCTGGGTGGTGGTGCAGTGGGGCTAAGGCAGGCCCTGGCCCTGCACCACTCCCAAAAGTAGCCTGCAAACTCCATCCCCAGTCCTGCTGTGTCCCCTCTCTGCTCTGTGGAGATAGGATACAAAGTGGGAGAGGAGGCACCTTGACATCAGCACCCTTCTTCTTCCTCTCCTGGCCTGCACAGAAAGCAGGAGGCTCCTGAGGGGACAGCTCCAAGGAAAAGGGCAGGAGATGTGCAGCAGTGGGGGGAAGGGCAGTTGAAGTGCCAGTACTTGATAACAGTCTCTTGACCAAACCAGTTAGGATCACCTGTCAGAGGCACCATGACCTACCAGTAGATCCCAATCTACTGGTTGGTGATCATTGCTTTAGAGTAACTTTTTGTGTCCTTTCTGCTTATATGACATTTCAAAGTACAAGAGATGTCATTAGTTGCATGCCTTTTTATGTAACATAAAATACATAAGTGTTCCAGGAACACAACTCCATGGAGGAGCTAAGCAGATCTGACTCTAGCTTATGCTGTTTTGTTTACTCATTAGTAGCAATCTTAAAATGGGTGAGTGATTTTTTTTCCCATCCCTTAATATTAAAAGTCTACATATCTTTAATCAAATCCATGTTCTCAATCCCTACTCTCTAATGTAACATAAATGCTCATTAATCCTTCTTTCATCATTTGTTTAAACATAGAAAATAGACAAGCCCTTAATGTGTGCCAAGCTAGTGTGCTGTAGGCAGAGCTAACCCTAGGATACAGCAAATCAGAGGGACCATGCCAGGCCCTGCCCTTTGAGGGCACTGTGGGCTGGCATGACTGGCCAGTGCAATAGTCCCACAAGTGATGTCACTTCCAGCCCAGGACCTGCACCTCCTTAGGGACATCCCTGGCTGTCAATTCACATTTTGGATTGTCACACCCTAAATTGCCATGTAGACATAATGTAGGTTTCACTGAAAGTCAGTAGGGTAAGCGTAAGGGACCATAGCTGATCCAAAAATAATTTTTTCACAAATATTTTTCCCATTTTTATCTCAAAAATTTAATAAGAATTAAATTTTGAGGAAAACATCAACATTTTGAATTTAGAAAGGTTTGAACCAGCTCAGTGTAGAACTATCTTTTAAAAAATAAAATAGACTTGGGCAGATCGGTCCTCCTTCATGCATGTGGTAGGTGCTTGGTGTTTAATAACCTGGAAGTGGTATTGAAAAGTCTGCACTACTGTGTCGTACATTTGCCAGTCATGCAATCCCACATCTCACTGCATTGTCATGCATCCTGCTGGGCTGTGGGAAGGCAGCAAGGTTTGCATTCCTCTCTCCCCAGCTGGTGAGGGGAGGGTGCAGAGGAGTAAGTGATGCAAGTTGTGTACTTTCCCTTCGCTCCCTGATAGTGGGGAGGGGAGAAGAGCAAGCAGCATCCCTGTAAGTATGGCTGCAGCTCCCCTTCCCTCCCAAAATGGTGCCGTTAGCCTCAGCACCCACCTGTCTCCTCAGGAGCAAATTCAACAGCCCCAACTACTTCCCACTCATGCTCCCCCAGCCGTCCCACCAAACGCCATCAAGTACCCAGTCACCTACTTACAGGCAAAGCTAAGTATTATAACCTCCCCTCCAATCACAAAGGGGGAGGGTGTGTTTGACCTTAAACTTATGGTTAATTTGTAACTAATTTGAATAGAACTCATTCAATATTTTGCATAAAATGTCACAACTGGAGTAGAAAAAAAGTTGGCAATAATGACATAAAGAGACCAACCTCACTAACTCTTCAAGTGCCTTCCAGCACTCAGGAGAGGGTTACAGTGTATTTGTAACCCTCTATGGCTCTGTTTTGTGGGTGGCTTTTTGTGGCCCCTATGCTATTATGTGTTATTGTTATTGAAGCCCGTGACTTTGGGATACTTGGAGATATGCCTTATGTACTCTTATATCTTTCCCTGGGTGCATTGTTGAGCAATGTAGATTAATGAAGGTAAATGCTAATTCTTACCTGGATATTTAGATCCAGAAATTTCAGAGTATTAAACTACTTCCCATTTCTTATGAGAGTCTCTGGGGCATTTTATTTCCTATGTTTGTTATTGTAAATCATGGCATGCAGTTTGTAGCGTCATCTCTTTGGCATGAAGTTCTTATTACACTTTTGCTGTATCTGCCTGATTTGATTGTTTTAGTCTTTAGGCAGCAAAATACCCAGTGGGGCAGATCTAGCTAAATAAACAGTAAGGAATTACTTTGTCACAAAAGGCTAGAAAGACTACTTGCATCATAAGCAAAGAGCTGTATAATAGCCCCAGAAAAGGCCTGTATTATGTTGGGAATGCAATGAGGGATGATATATAATAGTGAACAACATAGCAGCACATGGTGATAGACTCAATGAAAACATTTCAGAATCCCTCTGCTAGCATGTTAATCCTAGAAT